TAGGTCTCAGACTTGTCTGGGAGGATAAGCAGCACTGACTCGGTTCAGCGGGAGCCCACCGCGAGTCATTGTAAAGGCCAGATATGCATTCAATCACCTCAAACGAAGTTAGAAATTGAAGTCGAATGCATGGCGCATCCCTAAGGGATTGATCAACGCCGAGAGCTTTATCCTTTATCCTTTTATATTTACATAATCATAACCTAAAACGGTATCATTAGAGACGTTTGTTACACGGCTGAGACACATCCCCGAAAAGACGCGTGGCCGGTAGGACACATTTTGTCACCACTGATTTATGTAATGTCATAGTTAGATTTTGAAAATATTCTCAATCTCTTCTATTTAAAGGTAACGTCGACAAGGTGCGATTAATGCTTTATGAGAAAGACGGTGACGAGTAGGTCGAATAATCAACGGAAAACTGATCGAAGATTGGAACACGAGCCATCGATTCCGTCAAAGATTTCTTCTCTGGCAGTCATACAAGTCATCAATGATCAGACTGCATAATACGTTTTATTCAGCTATGAGATGCGAAAGAATCTTGTAAAACAAGACTGCTCCCCATTTTTCGACACATAGAGACAATTCCATCCTATTCATATGATTAGACCGACCGCATTGAGGATGAGCGAATGAAGAAATTCCCAAGACCGACTATTATTTAACCTCGGCAATGAGTGAAATATTCCGTTTTTTTTTGCTTCAGCACACACGAGGTTTTTAATACGAGTTTATTTTGTACAAAGTAGAACAATAGAGACCGTATCCGTGGCTAACGTTTGGCAGTCTTGCCTTCTTCAGAGGCTGACCTGAAAGAGTCTGACTAACCTACATCAACTTGGTCAAACACTTCCGTAACCTAAGCAGAGAAGAAGGAAAAGAGAGAAGGAAAGAAAGAAAAAAGGAAAAAGAAATGAAAATATTAAGATAATTTTCAAACCATTAAAAAACACCTAGATTTGACTCACCGTTTTGTTGTTATGGTGTCCACTAAATATATAGACCAGCCGCACTGTGTCTTACACGGACGAGGTGTGTGCCTGACTCAGATCCGTAAAGATCGACCCAAGATATTTCGCGAAATCATGGGTGATTAGGAGGCGCTCATCTTTACGATTGATAGCGGTACTTTTGGAATGAATCCAAAACGCCTCAAGGACTTTGCGCGCCGAGGTCTTAAGTTTTTGCGTAAGAATATTCACTTCTACCACAAAAACATTCCCCTTGTAACTGTATCCTGTGTGCACCTAGTGGGATGTTTGATCTAGAACTACGTCCATCGGCTAGGTGTTCTTTTATAAGGACGTAGAGTGGCCTACCTTTTCGCCAATGTACTCGCCGGCACGCCTTGCAAAAGATTGAGTAGATTGTACCCTTACTCATGCAGTCACCGTCTTTACCGTTATGACAAATTATGCACTTTTTGTGTCACTTAGACGATCGTACAAGCGATTGTGGACTAGCTGACGCCTGAGATTATTCGGCGCTTTCTCAATCATCGCAGCCGATTCATGCAAGCCTGCCCTTCTTAAACACCGCATTAGCTATACTTTTTTTATTTGTAAGAAGGGAAGCACAAACGCGACCTCATTTCCAGTGAACATTTTGTTGAGGGGTACGTGATGGGAACACAGTGTTGAGCAAAGCAGCCGCTCCATCTCCTCCTCAACACTCTTTTGTAATCAAACAGCGAACATCATAACTCGGTCAGCTTCAAGACTGCAGAGAGAATCGTCTTAGCCAGAATTCAGGAACATTCATATAGTGAAGGCGAAGTTCTCTTGTAACACCCAAAGGTACACGTGAAATATTCGAATAGCTTTATGGAAAATGAAGGCAAGGAAGCGATTTGACTGCAAGTAGTGAGATCCTAACGGTGAATTTGATGATCACTTTAACAGCTTATCTCATCTGTCTCACAGTGTGTCTCTCACTTTACAAATCCAAGTGTTCTAGCAGTCAGTTCGTCTTTTGTCGTCTTTTTGGACGTAGTAGAATACTGACTGAGGGCGTCTCCTTGCAATCTCGAGAATAGCCTAGCTGTGGCCTTCCTTACAGCGAATGTGATGGCGGATTGCATGTATAAATAAATTAATCGGTGTTCTACAATAACTAATAGGACTGAGGTGTTAAATTCGGCCCACCCTCACGGTTTATATTGAGAACTATGTTAACAAGTCGTAGTTATTCTGGAGAAAGCTTGTCACCTATCCGCAACTGGCGGTGACCTCTAAGGAACTTCTAATTAGGACTTTCTCAGAGTTTTTGTGGATGAGTCATATTCAACCAGTAAGGCGTAGTGAAAACGTACTAATTAAGCACTCGAGTATAACACGATTGGTGTTGTCCCATATTTCAGATTGCAACATTTAAACTCGTAGCTAGTCAACGAAAACAGTCACATTTTACTTCGATTATCGATCGAGGCAAAAAGAAACGTACTTTTTTCTCGTCGTGGAGTTGGTCGGTCAAAGTCTTGCCGTTCTAAAAGCATCACGGCCTAACAAAACACGAGAGCTTACACTTATCGGTGTCATCGTAGATTTCGCAAAGATTTATCTGTCTCCAGGTGTTCACATTATTTACTAGTATGAGTGTAGACGTAAATGTTGGGAGGCATTTGAAGATTTGCATAAACACGGTTTCATACATCGAAATTCAAATCCAGCCAATTTCGCATGTGGTTTAGGAGACAAAAAGCAAGTGTTAAGGGATTATTTTCTACTATAGTGACCACAGTACATAAATTACTTTAGATATCGAGTTTGTTTATCAAAAAAGTTGATTGAATCATCTCTTCGTTTTTACGAGAATCACTTTTCGCTCAACTGATATCGTTCTGTGAAGTGATGCCCATAGGATTTGTTTTTAGAGGGATCCAAATCATGCAATCATTCGATACTTATTACAAGCGCTGCATCGGTTGCAAGGACACACAAACAAAGTTATGATTTTATGAATTCAATAAAGATTTTAGACGTATTTAGACGTTGGTACCCAGGTCTCAGAGTTGTCTGGGAAGATAAGCAGCACTGACTCGGTTCAGCGGGAGGCCACCGCGAGTCACTGTAAAGGCCAGATGTGCATTCAATCACCTCAAACGATGTTAAAAAATTGAAGTCGAATGCATGGCGCATCCCTCAGGAATTGATCAACCCGAGAGCTTTATCCTTTATCCTTTATACTTAATTTATTGAGATAGCACAAAAAATTACAAATGTAAAAGGCGATTTGAAAACACCACCAGAAAGTCTTCGATTCAAGGTAATTGTTTCAGTTGATCTTCGATCTCCGTCTTTCTATAAGCTGACCATTATAAAACGTTGCAACCTCTATGCTCTGTATCTTCCTTCATACTTGGCAACTACGTCTTACTTTCCAAACAGATACTTTATTGAACATTAACAATGAAACATTTTATATCGAAGCATACATTATCAAAGTTAATAATTTACGCCAAATTTCTGACCACTTTTCGATGCTTTGATGATGGAACTGTGGCACTTTTGAAGCAAAATACTCAGACAGGTGCTTTACCACATCACCGACTTTGGCAAAACGTGTTCTTGCCAAGGAATGTTGCACCGACCTGAAGATATGATAATCACTGCGAGCAGCATCAGCTATTAACGATGGACAAACCGCTTAAAATTAGAGAACTAACTAATGACAAGTAACAGCATACTGTTTAGTCAAAACTGAACAAAATCTCACTATAGTAAACTTCTGCTTTTGAACAATAAAGATTTGTTAGCACTTATGGTTACTGTGATGAGAATTTGGCATAATAGGTCCGTTTGGTGAACAGAAGTAAAAGTAATAATTATATCTGCCGTTTCAAGAACTCTACGCTTTCGTTTTATAATTTAGTATTTTCTCATCTAACCGAGTGGACTCTAATTCTTTGACGTTCTACATTTGGAACTAGAGACTACTGAACATCTTATTTATTTAGAAAACGATTTGGTTCCCTTCTATTTCTTGCCACAAAAATATTTAAATGGGTCCGAAAGATGACTGTGATCATACCGGATATAACTATTCCGGCAGGTATATTTATCGTCAAACTTCTGAGATAAAATGATCCTCAGCATAATTTCATGAAGTGAGTTGCAGTAAATTAATATAAATCAAACAACACACCAGAAATGATCACAAACAGTTGAACATTAGCGTGCAATAGCTGTGAAATTTATGTATATATACTGGAAAAACATCCATTGTGCCTTTACAATCTACACGAATTTTTTGGAAAGTAACACGACGGCGGCGTCGCGTCCCACTCAGCTACTGTACATTGGCGGCGTCGCGCCTCCTCGGAAATTTCTATAGTCGAGCTTGGCAATGAAAATAAAGGACATTGCTAGATAAACTGAAGTTCTGAAGCGACATTATTATTAATGTATGGTAGGATATAACTGAAAAGGCTCTATAAGGATGATTTCAACAAGAACAACGTTTATATCAGAAAAATGTTATGTTTTATTGGGTGGAACTTTATCTGTATTCATTTTTATTAATTCTTGTGAGTAAAAGGAATACGGGTCAACATGGTATTTGACCGATATTGGGTGGTTTAGCAAATTCTTCCACCGTGTAGTTTGAAATAGATCCACACCTTTTCCTGAATAAAGCATCTGCTTGGAGATTGGGGTTTTCAACACGAATACGTGCAGTTTAACGACGGGTGCACGCAGCAGCTAAACTCGTCTGTTACCTAGACGATCTTCTCTATGACTGTGATTTCTCACAAAAGTTGACAGCTCAGTTGTTAAGGGAGAGGGTTGCAGAGTTGCACCATACTTAGACCGCTGGTTCGAATCACGCAGGAGGGATTCTCACACAAATCATGGCGAAATAGGCCATCAGTATTTCATTAACAACGCAAATCACTGAATACATGTATTCTTTGCTGGATGTGTAATTGAAATGATTACATGGCAACTTCAAATCAAACACTGTTTTTCTTCACTACACGGAAAGCCCATTCGCATCTGTCGATAGGTCAGTTGGTAGAGCGGAGGACTGTAGTTGCACCTATCCTTAAGTCGCTGGCTCAAATCCGGCTCGATGGAGCATTTTGCAGATAATGAGCAGGGAAAGCATCAAATTTCATTATCAACACTAGACACTAGTGCAATGAAGAATTTATTACTTAGTGCGTGATTTCAAAAGGTAAGCAGCAATAGCAGTTAGAACAACATTTTTGTTCATTGCACTGAAACTCTGTCGTCTGCCAGCAGATGTCGATAGGACGGTAGCGTATAGAGCTGCAGTTGTTCCTAGCTCGCTGGTTCGAATCTCGCTTGGCGCATTGTTCAGAAAATACTGCGTAGACACGCCACCAGCAATTCATTCCCAACGCAAGCTACTGGATGGAGGTGCACGCATCTATAAGGTTTTCAATTTCAAAAAATCATGCGGAATTAGAAGTTCATTAAAGCAGTTTTGTCCACTGCACGTTAGCCCTTCCATGTCCGTCGATAGCTCAGTTGGTAGAGCGGAGGACTGTAGAGTTGCAGCTATCCTTAGGTCGCTGGTTCGAATCCGGCTCGACGGATGGTTTTGAAAAATATGAGCAGAAAAGGCACTAATAATTCACTGTCAACACTGGTCATTTGTAAACTGAAAGCTTTTGTTAGGTGTGTGCTTCTAGAAAATTAAGCAGTATTAACAGTTCAGAGCAGCATTTTTTCTAAATTTTGCGAAAATTCTGCCGCATGCGTTGATAGATCACTTCTTAAAAGGACGCAAATTTGAAACCATTTATTATCTCTCAATTAAAGTTCAAGTACCAACATCTCAAGTCTTATATTCACTTATTGAAACCCGTAAAAGAGTATCCAGTGATGGTCTTGCGTCTAATTATCCATCAATATTTCAAGTTAAACCCAAATCAACTGTGTAAACGGACCAGCCAATAGAACACTATGATTTCTCATCATAATGTCATCCCAGTTGGCAAAGCACAGTTCAGACAGTCTTGTAAAACTTTAACTTTGAAACTGAAACTTTGAAATTACAGAACCAACGTGAACAACTTTGGCGGTATTGTCTCGTCTTCCTTTATCTATTGGAATAATGAGTGGTCGCTGAAGATCATTTTCGTCACTATACAATAATTCAACAGGCAATTTATTTTAATTTTACAAGAATCGTCTTTATTTAACCAACTATTGCTGAAGGGGTGGCGATGGAATCCACAGTGTTGAATGCATTTCTGTGGGAAATGAAAAGAATATTGAGTATATGTGATATCTTCTGCAGAAATGTACGACTCTGGAGAGCCTTTAGATGTGGTACATGTAGCCACGTGCGAATTCCTTAGAAGGCCCAGATTGATTTATAGGTTAGGCTTTGCCAAAGTTCTTCGAGACATGTCTTGAGATAATCTTCTTAAGTAGTTAACAAAGCACAATGAACAAGGTGATTGAGTGGCAATTACGAGGATCGTCATTTTTTGTGCAAAAAAACGGTCATAAGAGTCATCCATTATTTGGGTAGCCCGTTCTTTCTATGATATGATGCTAGGCGTTTTATACGGCTTATATAGATGACGTCAGCTCTCAAAAGATCAGCTGAGATATTGTCCGATCAGGTAAATGTGTCAAACCCCAATTTTTCTAATTGCAGTATGAAATAACGAAAACGTATCTCGTTATTATTATTTGAGCCAATATGTCATGTGGTGGGCAGACGTATAGAGCCCGATAGTTAGCTCAAATTATAATTACGATATATGTTGAAATGTGAGCGTGGACTTAAGAAAACACTTGAAATGAAAGGTATGATATACGAAAACGATTACTGGTATTGTTATTCCGGTGAAGATGGTAGGGTATGGCAGAGGAGTTCTTCATCAAAAGAAGTTCGCATCGAATTTCTATTTTAGAGATTTCATCTCACCACGAAAAATGTAGCTCGTCCATTTGCTTTGAACTGAATAGAAATACAGAACGGCATTATGAATATGATTCGATTTATTCATGATTGCCCTCTTGCTGCTTCCTCCACAATACTTATTTTCCATACCGACGGAGACCCCACTGCTTTGTACCTGTGGAAATGTCATTGGTGACAAAATGTTCGCTGTCTGTACCAACAGCGTCATGATGCGGTATTCTCTTTTTCAGGCGCTCCTATTGATAAATGTACGGTCATTTTCATTGGATTAGAAGGATCTTCGCACAAGTTCGGAGACTTTTTAGCAGCAGTAAATGTTTAATGCTTCATGGCATTCCATGAAGAGCTCCCTGATGGCTTGCAATGCGGAGTTTTTCGACACGTTAGTGTAAAGAGCAGTAACTCCGAAGAACTCTCTCACATAAGCGCTGTGGAGAGAGACGTTAAGTAGACGATTCAAAAAATATTTGTTTCGCAAGACGGTCTGAACTGTGCTTTGCCAACTGGGATAATATTATGATGAGAAATCATAGTGTTTATTGGCTGGTCCGTTTACACAGTTGATTATGGGTTTAACTTAAAATATTATTGGATAGTTAGACGCAAGACCATCACTAGATACTCATTTACGGATTTTAATAAGTGAATAAAAGACTTAAAATGTTGGTACTTGAACTTCAGTTCAGAGATAATAGATGGTTTTAAATTTGCGTCTTTTTAATAAGTTATCTATCAACGGGTGCGGCAGAATTTTCCCGCAAAATTTAGAAAAAATGCTGTTCTGAACTGTTAATACTGCTTAATTTTCTAGAAGCACACACCTAATAAGAGCTTTCAGTTTATTAGTGACTTGTGTTGACATTGAATTATCAGTACCTTGTCTGCTCATATTTTTCAAAAACACCCGTCGATCCGGATTCGAACCAGCGACCTAAGGATATCTGCAACTCTACAGTCCCCCGCTCTACCAACTGAGCTATCGACGGATATAGAAGGGTTAACGTGCAGTGAACAAAACTGCTTTAATGAACTTCCAATTCCGCATGATTTTTTTGAAATTGAAAGCCTTATAGATGCGTGCTCCTCCATCCAGTAGCTTGCGTTGGGAATGAATTATTGGTGGCGTGTCTACGCAGTATTTTCTCAGCAATGCGCCAAGCGAGATGCGAACCAGCGAGCTAGGGACAGCTGCAGCTCTATACGCTACCGTCCTATCGACACTTGCCGGCTGACGACAGAATTTCAGTGCAATGAACAAAAATGTTGTTCTGAACTGCTAATGCTGCTTACCTTCTGAAATTACAAACCAAATAATAAATTCTTCATTGCACTAGTGTCTTGTGTTGATAATAAAATTTGGTGCTTTCTCTGCTCATTTTCTGCAAAGTGCTCCATCGAGCCGGATTCAAGCCACCGACTTAAGGATAGCGCAACCACAGTCCTCCGCTTAACCAACTGACCTATCGACGGATGCGAATGGGCTTTCCGTGTAGTGGAGAAAAACAGTGTTTGATTTGAAGTTGCCATGTAATCATTTCAATTATACATCCAGCAAAGATATCATGTATTCAGTGAAAAGCGCTGATAATGAAATACTGATGGCCTATTTCACCATGGTTTGTGTAAGAATCCCTCTTGCGTGATTCGAACCAGCAGTCTAAGTATGGTGCAACGCTGCAACCCTCTCCCTTAACAACTGAACTGTCAACATTTGTGAGAAATCACTGTCGTAGAGAAGATCGTCTAGATAACAGGCGAGTTTAGCTCCTGCGTGCACCCGTCGTTAAACTGCACGTATTCAAACTGGGCGTACGTGATAGTTCAGTTCTCAAATGGGCCGATGTTAAAATGGACCACAATTTCCAAATCAGATGCTTTATTCAGGGATGGGTGTGGGTCTTTTCCTAACTACACGGTGGAAAAATTTGCTAAACCACCAAATATCGATCAAATACCATGATGACCTGTATTCACTTTACTCACAAGAATTAATAAAAATAAATACAGATGAAGTTCCACCCAATAAAACATAACATTTTTCTGACACATAGACGTTGTTCCTGTTGAAATCATCCTTATAGATCCTTTTCAGTAATATCCTACCATACATTAATTATAATGTCGCTTCAGAACTTTAGTTTATCTAGCAATGTCCTTTAAAAAAACATTGCGTAGCTCGTCTGTAGAAATTTCGGAGGAGGCGCGGCGCCGCCAATTTACAGTAGCTGAGTGAGACGCGACGCCTCCGTCGTGTTACCTTCCAAAAGATTCGTGTAGATTGTAAAGGCACAGTGGATGTTTTTTCCAATATATATCCATAAATTTCACAGCTATTCTCACGCTATTGTTCAACTGTTTGTGATCATTTCTGGTCTGTTGTTTGATCTATATAAATTTGCTGCAATTCACTTCATGAAATTATGCTGAAGATCATTTTATCTCAAAAATTTTGCCGATAAATAGATTTGCTGGGAAACTTATATCCAGTATCAGATAAAGCCATAATCACAATCATCTCTCAGAACCATTTAAATATTTTTTGGACAAGAAATAGAAGCGAATCATATCGTTTTATAAATAAATAAGGTGTTCAGTGGTCTCTAGATCCAAATGTAGAACGTCAAAGAATCAAAGTCCACTCGGTTAAATGAGAAAATACTAAATTATAAAACGAAAGCGTAAAGTTTCTTGAAACGGCAGATATAATTATTACTTTTACTTCTGTTCACCAAACGGGCCTATTATGCCAAATCCTCATCATAGTAACCATAAGTGTTTACATTTCTCTATTGTTCAAAAGCAAAAGTTTACTATAGTGAGATTTTGTTCAGTCTTGACTTAACAGTATGCTGTTACTTGTCATTAGTTAGTTCTCAAATATTAAGCGGTTTGCCCACCGTTAATAGCTGATGCTGCTCCAGGTGATTATCATATCTTCAGGTCGCTGCAACATTCCCTGGCAAGAATACGTTTTGCCAAAGTCGGTGATGTGATAAAGCACCTGTCTGAATCTTTTGCTTCAAAAGCGCCACAGTAACGGTCCAGCTGCTGACATTATCGCTCAGCGTTGAGGACGTTTGACCGGCTTACAACAATCTCGATGAATCGGCCCACTTCGGACCCATAAAATTTCCAACACTGCTTTTGGCGCAAATCAATTTGGTGTCGGTGCTGATGTTCCTTGATGACCTGGAAACAATCACCGATTTGGACGACACCGCCTCTTGAAGATCCACTTCTCATCAATAGTGACAAGATGTGCAAAGATGCACCATGTTGCACAATGTTTTGAAGCGTAAAGAAATCACTGAACTGTTTATGTGTAATCCTCTATTCGCCTTGTTTTTTCTTACTCAGTATTTTTTACAATGTCATAACTCTTTTACGGTTATATCTCGAGCACAGCATGTTCTTCAACTTAGTCCATCTTTCAGCATGTCACTGTGAATAGTCTACGCGACATTGATAACCATGGCAGCGCTTAAACTCAGTGCGAAGTTTTCGAGCAAAATCCACTACTTCTATCTTTTTCGAGAACAATATTTATGCAAATAAATGAAAAATTGAAAAATTATTGCTCTTGACACACAACGTCATTACAGGCGAAGCCCTAAGATCATTGTTTACTTCCTGTCAGAAAGAATGAACACGTAACACGTTCGTTGGAAAAGTTCTATAATACGTGCGAGATAGCTGATTTAATTTTACGCGGCAAATGACGAACTCACACAAGCTTGTTTTCCACGTATAGCGGGTATAGTACATTATCACTAAACTCATAGATGCCAAAAAAGTAGAACATACCATTGGCAAGAAATCGAACTCAGATCGCCTGCATGGAAAGTGGGCATTTTACCCCCCGAATCACCAGCGCGTGAACTGTAATATGATTTGAGTCACAAGCCCTTATCTCTTCCTTTTGAATATACTCAAGAGAATTGAGTTTTGAGCAAAAACACGGCTTTGGGCTGGAATCGAACCCGCGTTTCAATCATGCCGGGTACGCGCGCTCTACCACTACGTCATCAAAGCATATCTGCGCCACCACTCATTCTCATTTTTTTATTTTTGTGTCAAATCGAGGCGTTTGTGATTCAATTTTCTTCAAACAACTGATGTTTCAATGGCTTCGCCTTCATCGATCCGGAAAAATCAGGCTGCCCACAAAACACGCAGCCATACACGTCTTTACATTTTACATTTCCTCATAGTTTCTTATGACCACCGGCAAGAAATCTTTGAATTCGAAACAAAATTTTATTTCTAATGCTACAGCACAAAAAGAAGCCATTTGAGAAATGAAAGAAATATATGTTAGACGGCGACAAAATAAAAACCAATCTCATTCGCTGGACAGGAACTTTTCATAGGAGTGTTAGTAGTCTCGAAGGCATAAATCTCTGGCTATAGTATCACTCTAACGACTTGTCAACCGAAAAAAAAATTTCTCACACTCGCCTTTCGCCGTCATTTTTATCACACGTACAATTCGCTGGAAGCACGAACAGCATATAAGCATGTATTTGTATATTTAGAACTTTCCATATTGTTAGAATCAAGAATTATTATCTAAAGTTTTTAACAATATTCCAAACTCAATCGATCGCTCCTCTTTCCTCCCCCCCCCCCCCACCACTTCCCCTCCTGCTACGTGCATCGGCCCTTATCGGTCGTCGAAAATGTAAAACGTTGTCGATTTTTCCAACTAAACGGTATATTCAGTAAATAGATGCATCGTTTAAATTACTGGAACTTGCGATGTCGAATGATCACTAATAATCCAATGAAAAAGCTCTGTCCGATGAGGCTATTAAGTTTCCAACTATGTCTACAAACTTGATCCGCTAAAGACAAAAATTTTCGCACAGAAACAAATTTTTCTTTTACCTGTTTAGTGCAGAATTTCCTTGAGCATCGTATGGTGCATCTTTGCACATCTTGTCAATATTGATGAGAAGTGCATCTTCAAGAGGCGGTGTCGTCCAACTCATTGGTTGTTTCCAGGTCATCAAGGAACATCAGCACCGACACCAAATTGATTTGCGCCTAAAGCAGTGTTGGACATTTTATGGGTCCGAAGTGGGCTGATTCATTGAGATTGTTGTAAGCCGGTCAAACGTCCTCAACGCTGAGCGATAATGTCAGCAACTGGACCGTTGCAGTCAAGAACCATCCACGTCACCGCCGTCGCCAAGTCATTTTGCATCAAGACAATGCAAAGTCACACTTTGCCAACGAAAACAGGGAAGAAGTTGACCGATTTGGGGTGAGAGCACTTGAATCATCCACCGTATTCGGCAGATCTGTCTCCGTCCGATTTCCATATTCTCAGATAGCTGAAGCACTAGTTGGGGTGAGAAGAACTACATCGTGGCATCAATCGTTCGCGTCGAGAATTGACCGGATAGTTTGTATCACCTGTATCACCTGCCGTCCCTGTTGATCGTCGAGTGACTCGAGCGGGTACCAGCAACACTTCCATTTTTTCCTATCGCGAGCAAGAGCAGCCCAATGGATCTTGCCTGCTCAAGGGATTCGCTGAGCATCATATTTCTCTCCTATACCTTTTGTGAAGAAATCGGTCCTAAGGATCGGTGATCTTCCTCTAAAGCGCTTGATATCCCGAGAAACCCAGTTTGTAACGTCTTTCGTCCATCGGTTGTCGTAAAAACTCATCACGTGTGCGGCCCACCTTGTTTTCGATATCATGCTTGTATAGAACGGCATCTGTGATCTTCGACCGTTGACGCAGGTCGGCACTTCGAATCCTTTCCCTCATTTGCGAGATACGAGATACTCCTAGCATCGACCTTTCGACTGCGTGTTCAATAACGCCAAGTGATCCTTAATCCTGCTTACATAGCCACCAGGCTTCTGCTGCATACGTTAGGGCAGGGATAATCGTCGAGTCGACAAGGTGAGCACAGAGTTAGATGTTCTTTGTCCTCTTCACTACATATTCGATGCTCTTAAACGTATCTTCAAAAGCTCATTTCGTACTGCTCAACTCCGGAGCTAGGTCGTTCAGCATGATTTCACGACCTAGATAGAAGTAACCGGAGCATTCGAAGATTTTCGTTCTGTTGAGCGTGAATGGGGCGTTTAAAACCCATCCGTTCTTCATGAACATCGCTTTCGTTGGATTTGGTTGAAGACCAATCTTTCCACAGGCGTTGTCGAAATCGGTCATCATTTGTTGCACTTGGCTGATGCATGGTGTTATGAAGACGATCTCATCAGCAATGCGAAGATGGTTCAATTGCCAACCGTCAATTTTCACTCCCATACCGTCCCATTTTAATTTTCGCATGACATTTCGAGGGTGGCAGTGAATAGTTTTGGCAAATTTGTATCACCTTGTCGAACCCCTCTTTTTACGTCAATGGTGATGTTATTGTAGAATGGAGGTATTTTAGTTGTGAAATCTTAATGCAGCTTGCGAAGGATCATATGTACCGAGTAGCGACACCCTGGTTATCCAGAGCCTCTATAACCGCTTCTGTTTCCACCCAATCAAAGGCTTTCTTCAGATCGATGAAGGTAAGACAGAGTGGTAGTTTGCACTCTCGTGAAATTCAATAAGTCCTGTGATGGTATGAATGTGGTCTGTGGCAGAAAATCCTCTTCGAAACCCTTCTTGATCGCACGGCTGTCCTTCGTCCAGTGTTCTGTCAATCCTGTTTAGGATTCTTGAAGCGGAAAGTTTAAAGACAACGAACAGCAGGCAGATTGGGCGATTGTTGCCTATTTCGCTGAAGGTCTCCCTTCTTGAACAATAATACGGTCTTGTTAGTTTTCCATTGGAAAGGGAACCTTTTCATCCTGACAGGTAGCGAGTGAGGAGGCGAGCCACGGTGTTGAAGAGAAATGGCGGTAGGTTCTTCAGGTGTTGTGGTTTAATCCTGTATGTTGTTCTGCTCTTCACCGGCGATATAGCATGTCGGATTTCAAAAGGTAGGACTGATGAAACAAATGGTTCATCCTTTTTCAATTCACTGACGGTATGAGGACGTGGAAAGCGAGGAGACCCGAGTAGTACTGGTGGGTGATTTTCTCCATTGTCCTTCGGGAAGGTGTAAGTGTTTCATCACGGCGGCATCGGAGTGCAATCACCTTGGTCTTGCAATTGGCGAAGCTTCGGTGGGCTATGCGAATGCTCTTCCCAGCTTCTGCAGCCTCAGCCATGACTGCTGCTCGTCCCTCTTCGAGTCTTCTTTTATTACTTTCCTGCAGAGTTTCGCAATTTCGGACGTAAGAGCTCGGTTGCATGTAGCTCGTACGATTCCAAGTTGACGCATCAGCTCGAGTGTCTGTGGAGACAAGAGTTGATTCAAGGCTTTAGCTCTCTCGGCTTTTAGAGCACTAACGCGAAGGTATTCTGCAAGCGGTCGTATTTTCCGCCGATGTTGTAGACAACGGTATCTTGACAAGAGCCGACTAATGATTTGAATACGTCCCAGTGTATGGTAATTCTGGAACTTCGTTGTTTGAATTTAGCGGCTTTCTCTCCTTCAAGCGAAAAACGGAACTTTGCGCGAGGAAGGCGATGGTTTGGTCCCGCGCAGAACTTAGCAACAGCGCCGATATCGGTCAGGCAAAACCTTTAATTTATTAAGATGTGGTCTATTTCTTTATGGTACCCTTCATTGAGAGGCTCCACGTCCACCGTTAAGAAAGAGGCTTTTAGAATTGTGAGTTAGCACGGCTGGTTTGGGTCGTCATGATAAACTCAGATTGCCTCTCACCCTGTTCATTTCATTCTACTCCGTGGGTCTCAATGTGACATTCTTCAGACATTCTTTTAGGTCCAATTTTTGCATGAAAATCTTCGGCAATGACCTTGAAGATTGTATGATCTTCTCTGAAGAATTCTTCGATGTCCCTATAAAACGCTTTGGAGTTCGTCTTCGTTATAGCTTGATCTTGGAGTGTAAGCAAAGAAGATGGTCAAAGCCGGCATAGAACCACATCGTTTCAACCGTAATCGTCCGATGCGTGTTGTTAGTTGTTCATACGAATCAATGTTCACTGTCAAATTCGATTTGACGAGGGCGTCAACGCCACCGACACCTCTGCTATAGCATGTGCCAAGAAGCAGTTCTTCTCCGCTGTAATAAACAGCGTGAAAAGTGTGGCGTGTTCTCGTCTTAGCCAGGCCAATGACGTCGTCAGCTTATCCTTCTTGCTTGAATCAATAGATCTTCTGCAGCGGATTTGTAAGCAAGTGTTCCTGCATTGTAAGTAGAGATCTTCATTATAGTCCGTTTCCACTTTAGCAGCATAGTTCGGCCCTGAGATTTTAGCAGCCTCTCCGTACTCGTCCTAGCCAGCGCTGCCGTGCTGGGGGTTCTTTCGGGGTCAGGGGAATGAGGCAATTCTTTAGTGCTGCTTCTAGCATTCTGATATCCAATGTATAGCTTACTAAGCTCTAAAAGTTGAGGCTGGATATTCACGAGTAGCTCGCCAGTCTCTCTCAGAGTAGCAGGAAGGCGTCATGTACTACCCAGCAGCTTGATTACAGGCTCTTGGCCTACTTTACTTGTAGAAATAGAGTTTTGTTGAATCGGCGCTGCAGAAGCAGGGAGCTCATCCTCTGAATCCACCTACATCACTGGGAGGCACACAGTCGCTTTTGGTTCGCGTTTATTTCCCTATCCACCACTTGGGGACGTGCTCCGCACCCGCACGACTAACCGGGGGACCTCTCAAAGAGGGACGTCTGTGGTGTGAGCCATACCATGCAAAAATTAGCACATTCTTCACTGCGGCTCCACTAACATTGATGCCCATTAACTTTGAAGAAAATTCACTTGCTCAAAGCCGTAAAATAGTGGGTGAGCATACATGTCGATTAAGATTTGACTAACGTTATGGCTTGTCAAAATCTTGCGTTTTTCAACGAAGAAAAACAACATATTTGCGAAAAAGGAACGCTTTTTAGTTATTATTTAACGTTTTTCTCTCATCTCCTCGATAACTATTTAGTCGATAGATAGGTTGAAAAATTCTGACGTTAAGGTTGTCGTGTGGGG